CCCCTCGGCGAAGGGAGGCGGCGGCCTCCCTCCTCGTCCGCGAGAGGGGCGGAGGCAAAGGGGAGGGAGAGGGCGCTCCGAAACCCGCCACGACGGAGGCCCGGGCAGCTCCCCAAAAAAGATCCGGAGTGCTCAAGCGCACGCTGACAGAAGATCCCAAGAGATCCCCAAAGGTTCTTCAAGATCCCCCAAGGATCCCAAAAGCTCACCAAACGGTCCCCAAAAGATCAAAAACAAAAATCCCAAAAAGATCCTCAAAGATCCTCAAAAAATCCCCAAACAGATCCCCAAAAGATTCCAAACAGATCCCCAAAGAGATCCAAAAGATCCCCAAAAAGATCCCCAAAGATCCAGAACGTGCCCCAGGCAGCCCCCCACAAGATCCCAAAGGACCCACCGCACTCGAGCGCACGCTGGCACGGAGCGGGGATCCGTGGGCGCCAAGGCCACGGAGCGGAGGAGAAGGCTCTCCTCGGATTCTTACGCTGCGCTGCGCTGCCCGACTGCACTCTATAAAGTGTACTCTGCGCACTCTGCTCTGCGCTGCCCTACTCTGATCCCCTTCTGCTCTGCTCTGCGCTGCGCTGCTCTACCATCTGCCCTACCATCTGCCCCACTCTGCTCTGCCTTTTACCACTTGTCTTACTTCACTCGGCTTTACTCTAGAGTAGCCTACTCTTCCCTACCTTGCCCTAACCTACTCGAATACACCCTGATATACTCCTATTCTTCTGTACCCGGACATTGCAGATTTATCTATCTACTCTACTCTAACCTGGTCTAGTCTACCCGACTCTAGTATACCCGACTCTGGTCGACCATATACCTACTCTGCTCTACCCTAACCTACCCAAACCTACTCCTACACTGCCCGAACATATGTACACATAACGGGGGACCAGCCCCGGGGGCCCCAGGGCCGCGACCTCGACCGCAAATGGGTGGCCTGGAAGCTCCGGGGCGCTTCCGCGGCGCTGGGGGCTCTCTAAGATCACCCGAAAACGGTCCTGAATGGCACGCCAAAACAACCAAAAGAGGGTAGAGATGCCCCTAAAATTAACCCCGGTCTCTGCAAGAGGCCTCCCAGACGCCACAAGAGGCCTCCCAAAGGCCCGAAGAGGTACAAATCGCGGATTGTCCGTTGTTTTTTTGTGGATTTCGAGTTCTCGCCTTTTCGATGTCCCGACGCTCCACGACCGCCCAAGAGGCCCCAATGTCCGCTCCAACAGAGGCCTCCAAGAGGGCCCCAAGACGGCCCAAGAGGGCCCCGAAACGGCGCCCGAGGCGCCCTAGACGGCCCAAGAGCGTTCCAAGACGGCCCCAAGAAGGGCACAGAAGGCCCCCAAGAGGCTCCCCAGAAGCCCTAGAGGCCTCCAAACGGCCTCCCAATTGCGCCCGGAGATCTAAACATCGTTGATTTCCCGTTAATTGTTAAAGGATTTTCAAGTTTTCGCTTTTTCAATTTCCCGACGCTCCAAGACGGTCCAAGAGGCCCCAAAGACCGCTCGAAGACAGCTGAAGAAGCTTCCAAGAGAGCCCCAAAACGGACCACGAGAGCCCCAAAACAATCCCTGAGACGCCCAATACGGCCCGAGAAAGTACCAAGACGGCCCTAAGAGGGGCCCAAGAGGGGTACGACGAACCGAAAATCTGAGGTTTCCACCCCGATAGCTTCCCAGAAAGCTTCCCAGGTAGCCCCAAGAGGCACCCAATAGGATCCAAGAGGCCCTCAAGAAGCTCCCCAGAGGGCCGAAGAGGTTCCCAGAGGCTTTCCAAGAGGGCCCGAAGAGGCACAACTTAATGTCATCCCATCGGTGTTTGACGAATTTTAGAGATTTCAGCCTTTTGGCATCCCAACGCTCCAAGACGGCCCGGCCCAAGAGGCCCCCAAGGGACCGAGAGGGCCCCATGACGGCCCCAAGAGAGGCCCAAAAAGGGGGACGCGAACCCAACAGCAAGGCCTTCCGCCCTAAGAGGTCCACAGGAGGCCCCAAGAGTCCCCAAGTGGTCCGACAAGGTCCCCAAAATCCTCCGAAGAGGCCCCAAAAGGTCCCCAGGAAACGTGCACAAGGGGCTCCAAGATAGCTCAACAGTGCCCTCGATGCATCAAAACTGCCTCCAGCCCCCGGGAGGCTTCCAGATGTGGCCCCAGGTGGCCTCAAGTCGGGCCTCCACGCAGCCAGCCAGGACGGCCAATGACGGCTTCAGGCTGTCGAAAATCACCTCCGACTGCCCGGAGAACCCCGACGATGCCCTCAAGGGACCCCAAGAAGTCCAAGGACGCCCCCCAAGAAGCACTCAAGAGGTGCCTCCAACAGCCAATTGAGGAAGCACGGAGGGTCCCCCAGAAGCCCTTCAGATACCCCCACAAAGACCCAAGATGTCCCCAAGAGGCTCTCAGGAGGCACGACTATGTCACACGCCTTAGCTTGATAGCGCTGTCCAAGAAGATCTTCCGGCGCCCCTCCAGCCCGGGCTAGAACCTGAGCGCGCGCGAAGCCCGCGCGATGGATCTAGTTCTAATATACCCGAGTGCACTCTAAAATATATCATACTGCACTCTGTGTTGCTCTACTCGAACCTGCTACGTTCGACCCTAGTACAATCAACCCTAGTCTTCCCTGCCCCACCTTTGTCGAACACACTCTACTCTAGTCTACTCTAGTCTACTTTACTCTATTATACTCTGCTCTACTCTGCTCCATCTACGCAACTCTACTCCGCTTTACTCTACTCACCTACAATGCTCCACTCTACGATATTTCTGAGTTTGACGATTGTTGAATTTGACGATGGTTAGAAGCGCGTTGGGACGGCATTGGAATAGCCACGCGGATAGGCGGAATCCATGCGGAGAGGAGAAAGTCATGCGTATGGGATGAAGCCATGCGGACAGGAGGAAGCCATGCGGATGAGAGGAAGCCAGCAGAGGAAGTCATGCGGATACAGAGGAAGCCATGCGGATAGCTTGATGGCTGCAATGGGAGAAAGAGAGGGAGAGCTGTGGAACAGTTCGGCATACATTGAGCTGGGACTTCGATTATAGAAAAACGAGCGAACCAGCCAGCAAACGTCCAGGTGAGTCACTGTGACGCCACCGAAGAGGCAGCGGCGGCCAAGGGGCACGATCAAACACCGAGCCCGCGCAAGGGCTAATGAAAGCACCGCCCTGGGCGCAGGTGAGGTAGCATGGCCAGGACGATCTACGGGAACCGAATGGGATTGTTCAATACGTTGGACACCCAGGCATTTCGCCCACGCCCCGTCTTGTGCACGCGTGTCTCTGAGGTGTCAACATGGCGTTCGCTGCACAGGAGCTTAGAGACAGCCAGTCGGATCTGTACAGTCTAAGCTGATAACTGGGATGCACGGTGAGGGCGCAAGCCCCTGAAACGCCAATGTCGAAGCTTTCCGAGCGGGGCTGGCAATGGAAAGGGGTTGAGGATGGACCGAGGAGGCAAGGATGCAAGGGCACCTTCGGGAAGGTTGCAGATCCTTACGATAAATTGCGACTGCAAGCGGGCACGAACGGTAAGACGCAACCTTCTTCGAAGACCCGATTAGCCCCAGTCACGGAGTCGGGAACGGAGAAGAGCAAGAACAGCAAAGACAAAGCAAGGGCTCCCAACTTCGCGCTTCGCGCTGCGCGAAGCGCGAAGTGCGAATAACTTCGCGCTCTCGCGCCGCCTCCCGGGGGAGAAGAGGAGGATGAGGAGGAATCGGAACCGAAGCGCGAAGCGCGAATAACTTCGCGCCCTCGAAGGCGCCCTTGGTAAGACGCAACCTTCTTCGAAGACCGGGTTAGCCCCAGTCACGGAGTCGGGAACGGAAAAGAGCAAGAACAGCAGAGACAAGGGCAAGGCTCCCAACTTCGCGCTCTCGCGCCGCCTCCCAGGGGAGAAGCGGAGGAGGAGGAGGAATCGGAGCCGAACTGCGAAGCGCGAATAACTTCGCGCCCTCGAGGGCGCCCTTGGACAAAGGCAAGGACCACTCCTCGTGGGCGACCACGGCACAAAGGCAAGGGCAGAGCTACCAAGGGGCAGAACGCATGGCGCCCAGACTGCGGGCAGAAAAAGCGAAGGGCACGGGCAAAACGAGCACAACGGGCAACGAGGGCAATAGAGGACCACATGCGAACCCTACCCCTACCCCCCACGATTTCGGAGGGGGAGGGTGGGTGCGGGACGTGCACCCCACCCTCCCCCTCCGAAATCGTGGGGGGTAGGGGTAGGGTTCGCATGTGGCCCCCTAGGCAAGCCCAACGGGGGCAGGAGAGCCCGGAATCGAATCGAGAAGTCCAGATCGAATCGGACCGGAGGAGTCGAAGTGACCGCGGGTGCGGACGCCGCACGCTTGCTGCTCCGCAGGCACGCCCGGATCCGCCACCCCGCCCCGAACGCGAAGGCGCGCCCGCTGCGTCGTCGTCGTCGATGTCGTCCTCGTCCTCGTCCTCGTCGTCGTCGTCGTCCTCGTCGTCCTCGCAGGGGAGGAGGTGGAGGTGGAAGAGGAGGAGGAGGAGGAGGAGAAGGAACGAAGTGGGCGGAGGAGGAGGATGAAGAGGAGGAGGATGAGGAAGAGAAAAGGAGGAGGGGGAAGAGGAGGAGGAGGACGAGGACGAGGACGAGGAGGAGGATGGCGGCAGGCACGAAGAAGCCACGCCTTGTACACGCGCGTCTCCGAGGTGACCATGGCGCCCAGGAGGCGCTCGCCGCAGAGGAACTCCCAGGCCCCGCGCACGGCCTTTGGCGGCGCCGCGCGCCGCGCGGAGGCGGGCGTGGGCTCTCGAGCGCCGAAGGGGGGGCGGGCGGCGCACGCGGACGGCGGGGACCGCGGCAGCGTGCGGCGTCTGATGGCACGTGGAGCCCCTCGCCTCCTTCAATCTCCCTCGCTCGCTCGCTCGCTCTCTCTCTCTCTCTCTCTCTCCATTTCTCCCTCTCCTCGTCGTCGTCTCTCCCTCGCTCGCTCGCTCGCTCGCTCGCTCGCTCTCTCTCTCTCTCTCTCTCTCCATCTCTCCCTCTCTCCCGTTGTCCCTATCCCTGGTGCCCACCGTCGCAGTGTGTGTGTGTGTGTGTATCTGTATGTGTGCGTGCAAATGTGGCAGTGTGTGTGTGTGTGTGTCTGTGCGTCTGCGTGTGTCAGTGCACGAGCGAGCGTGCGTGCGTCCGTGCGTGCATGCGTGCATAAGTGCATGCGTGTTTGTGCAGACCTGTGTGTGTGCGCGTGTGTATGTCCGTGTGCGTGAGCGCGCGTCTTCATTATTTCTAGGGGCACAGAGGGCATGAAGGCCGAGAGCTCCGAGATGGCGCACATGTTCGAGCCAACCACTGGAATGCTGCGAGGCCAGATTTAGAGGTTATCCTTCTACGTCTCGTTGCCCTCCTCCTCGCACTCCTGCTCACGTTCTTACTTCTGACTGATCTCGATCCCCTCCTCATCATCCTGCCTCCTCCCCCTCCTAGGCCCCCCCTCTCTCTCTATCTCTCTCTCTCTCTCTGCAACTCGCAGCCCAGAGCCTGCCTGACTAGAGCCTACTTACGACAGATGGCCTGTATAGGCCGAGTGTGAGCTAAGATGTATACTCAGGCTCCACAGGAGCCCCTTCTTATGTAAGGCTGCGTTTCACGGTGTATCGTGTTTCCTACACTCTATCTGCAGCCTAGCCATGCTTAATGGTCTCCCCGAGGGCCCTCGTAAAGCCCCAAGCCCCAGAGGTTCATTCTAAGCGTTTCACACGTTCCCCAAGACATTTCTACCGAAACCCTCGCGGCTCGAGCCTTTGCAGCGACAGAGTGTCGCTGGACTCCTGGTGTGCGCGCAAGAGGCGCAGGATTGCGAGCTGGCCCACAATTGAAAAGCAACTCCCTTCCAGGAACAGCGTGTGATCGGCATCGCACTACCCACTGCCCGACCCCCTGTACATCTGTATCCAGATACTTAGCACGTCGTCAGAGAAGACGGCAGAGAAGTACACATCAGGATTCATACCAGGGTAGTGGTTCTTAGCGGGACCATTGCACTCTCCTCCCCCCCTCTCTTTCCTCCTCCTCCGCATTCTTCATAAACACCCATCCATCTCCCTTCCCTTGCCCTACCTCCCCCCTAGCCGTAATCTTCGTGACACCTTGCAAAGCTGACCTCGTCCTCGTCGTCTTCCTCCTCATCATCATCCTCCTCATGCTACTCCCCGTTCTCCACCTCCTCCACCCCCTCTCTGATCTTCCCCCATCCATCCGTTTCCCCTTCCCCACCCTCCCTCCCATCCCTCCATTCCCTCCTCTCGCCTCTTCCTCCTCCTCCTCCTCCTCCTCCTCCTCCTCCTCCTCCTCCTCCTTCGCCTATACAATTACTCAATATGAAAATACTCTCCCTCTTCCCCTGATGGCGTCCGGGTGATGGCCGCGCACCCTCCGCGTACTGTTTTTTCTACACACAGGATCCCCGGGAAATCCCGGGAAACGACTCTCGCTGAGGCGCCGGCGTTATTTTTCCCCAAAATGCTGCTCTCTTTGAGGCGCCGGCCTCATTTCTGCTCCCGAATCGTTCCGAATCGTGCTCCCGCTGCAGCGTGGGCCTCATTTTCGGATCGGTGTTTGGCCTCCGTCGTTCAGGATGGCGTTCTCGCCCCAGCGCGGGCCTCTTTCTCGCGCGCCCATCCGCCCGCCACCACCGCGCCGCAACCACCACCACCACCACCACCACCACCACCACCAGCACCACCACCACCACCAGCACCACCATCACCACCACCACCACAACCACCACCACCAGCACCAGCACCACCCACCACCAGCACCAACCACCAACCACCACACTCACCACCCACCCACCACCACCACCACTACCACCACCACCACCACACACCACCACCCCCCAACCACCACCACCACCACCACCACGACAACCACGCACACACGCACGCACGCACGCACGTGCACCACCACCCACTACGCACGCGCGCGCGGAGCCACAGGTCCGCTACGACACGCGTCCGCGGATAGAGAAAATCAGCGCCATGGACGTCAGATATGACGCGAGCGCACCTAGCTTGCCTGCTCTCCCCTCCCTCGCTCGCCTCGAACTGCTCCTGAGGGGGAACATCAGGGGACCAGCTCAGGGAGGAACATCGCATCGGCGGTACATCTCCCAGTGGGCGACCAAGGGTCGATGCGTCCCCCCCCTCCGAGCCTGCTCGGAGCAGGCCGAAGCGAGACAGCGAGAGCTCGAAATCGGTCCCCCGACTCCTCCGAGGGTCCAGGCGCACCAGTTCTCCGAGCTGCGTCCGGGCCGCTGCGCCGAGGGCCCCACCCCCCTCCCCCCGAAGGACAACCACTGTGGCGTCGCCTCGCTCCCGCCCGAGCCTAGCCACACACACACACACACAAATAAACAAACAAACACACACTGGGCGTCCGTTCGCTGTCCCCGATGTCCTCGCTCCTCGAGCCCCACAAGTCGGCGGCGAGCGAGGGGGGGAAGTGAAGCGAGGAGGGACAGGTCCTCTCTTTCAGAAGGCTGGTCCCCCAGCCTTCCGAGAAGCTTTCGGGGCCTTCTCCCCGAAGGCACAGAACAGGTATCGGGGGGCGCGAGGGCTCCTGGGAAGTCCCGCCGCCTTCAGAGACGGCCATCTCCTTCTCACCTCCCCCCTCTCGCTCGCCGCCGAACCAAGGCCTCCCAGTCCTCCTCCTCCTCCTCCTCCGCCTCCTCCGCCTCCGCCTCCGCCTCCTCCCTCCTCCTCCTCCTCCTCCTCCTCCTCCGCCGCCGCCGCCCTCCTCCTCCTCCTCCTCCTCCTCCTCCTCCTCCTCTCCTCCTCCTCCTCCTCCTCCTCCTCCTCCTCTCCTCCTCCTCATGTTGGCTCAAGCGTTCGCATGCCTGGTGCGCGCCCCGCCGTCCCCGCGATGGCCGCGCGTCGGGCTAGAGGGGCGGCGCCGCCGCCGCCAGCGCCGAGCGGCGAGGCGCGCGGCTGCCAGGGTGGACACCGAGACAAACGAGGCGAAGAAGGAGGGCGCTGGGGCGGCCGCTGGGGCGGTCAGTGCGGGCCTCGCGCTCGTGCAGGTGGCTGGGGCTGCTGCCGACGCGCCCGACATCGACGCCGAGCTGGACGACTCCTGGGCTGATGGACTGCTACGCGGGGGTCCTGCCGTCGCCGCCGCTGGCGGCGCTGCAGGGCTGAGCGGGCGGCGCCGCGGCTGGGAGGTGGGGCAGGCCGTGTCTTCGACGGAGCCTGCTGCGCCGAGCGGGCCTTGGGCTGCTGTTGCTGGTGCGGCGGCGGCGACGGGCATCGAGGTGCGGCAGCTCGTGCCGTGGGAGTCCAGGGGGCCTGCGAAGGAGGACGTGCGGGTGCGGGCCAGGCGGGCCCTCGGCATGCCGCCCTCTTCCTGATGCTCGAGGAGGCCCTGGTGTGGTTCCTCGTGCTCGCGGTCGTGGAGCTTGCCCTCCTCGGCTCGCCGGCGTGGTGCGTCGACTACGCCTTCCGCGTCTTGTTCGGCAGCGCGGCCGGGGGGTCCAGGTCTGGTCAGGTCCAGGCCTGGCCCCCCGCTGACCCAGTGGCCCTGGGTGCGAGTGTGAATGTCAAAAAAGAATCCTCCTCCGCCTCCTACTCCTCCGCCTCCGCCTCCGCCTCCGCCTCCGCCTCCGCCTCCGCCTCCGCCTCCTCCTCCTCCTCCTTCGCCTCCTCCTCTTCCGCCAGCTCCTCCTCATCCGCCGCCGCCGCCGCCGCCAACTCCTCCTCCTCCTCCTCCTCCTCCTCCTCCTTCTCCTCCTCCTCCTCGTCCTCTTGTCCTCCTCCTCCTCCTCCTGCTCCTCCTCCTCCTCCTGCTCCTCCTCCTCCTCCTCCCAACCTCCTCCTCCTCCTCCTCCGCCTCCCCATCCTCTTCTTCTTCGTCTTAGTATTATTATTATTATTATTATTATTATTGTTATTCTTCTTAGTATTTATATTAGTATTAGCCTTCTTATGCTTAGTAATATTAATCTTATTATTCTTATTATTTTTTTGAAGGGGGGGGGGGGGGTCGGAGGATTCCTATTGAACGCCCCCACAATAAGGATTCATAGTGGAATCCTCGACAGAAGGATTCCGATCGAAACCCTCCACTGAATGATTCCTACTGAAATCCTCCACATGTGGATTCCTACTGAAACCCTCCATTGAACGATTCCTACTGAAATCCTCGAATGGCAATGGCAATGTCAATGGTAATGGCAATGGTAATGACAATGGTAATGGTACTGGTAATGGTAATGGTAACGGTAATGGTGATGGTAAAGGGGTAGCGACAGGCAATGGCAATGACAATGGCAATGACAACGGTAATGGTAATGGTAATGGCAATGACAATGGGAATGGCAATGGCAATAGAAATGGCAATGGCAATGGCAGTGGTAATGGCCATGGCAATGGTAATGGTAATGGTGAAGGTAAAGGTAATGGTAGTGGTGCTTTGAATGGGAATGGACATGGAAATGGGAATGTGAATGGGAACGGGAACGGGAGTGGAAATGGTAGTGGTAGTGGCAACGGTAATGGCAATGGTAATGGTAATGGTACTGGTAATGGTAATGGTAATGGTACTGGAAACAGTAATGGTAATGGTAGTGGCAATGGGAATGGTAATGGTAATGGCAATGGTAATGGTAATGATAATGGTAATGGTAATGGTAATGGTAATGGAGTAATGGTAATGGGGAATGGTAATGGTAATGATAATGGTAATGGTGATGGTAATGGCAATGGTAATGGTAATGGTAATGGTAAGGCTAGTGGCTAATGGCAATGGCAATGGTAATGGTAATGGTAATGACAAGGGTAATGGTAATGGTAATGGTAATGGTAATGGTAATGGTAATGGTACTGGTAACGGTAATGGTAAAGGGGTAGCGACTGGCAATGGCAATGGCAATGACAATGACAATGGCAACGGTAATGGGAATGGCAATGGCAATGGGATTGGCAATGGCAATGGCAATGGCAATGGTAATGGCCATGGCCATGGCAATGGTAATGGTAATGGTAATCGTAATGTGAATGGGAATGGGAAAAAGAATGTGAATGGGAATGGGAATGGGAATGGGGACAGCACCGGGCATGGAAATGGTAGTGGTAATGGTAACGGAAATGGGAATCACAATTGTCATTGCCAGTGCCGTTACCAGAAAGGTAAAGGGTAAGGTAAAAAGTAAAGGGTAAGGGTAACGGTAAAGGTAAAGGTAATGGTAATGGTAATGGCAATGGTAATGGTAATGGGAATGGGAATCGGAATGGGAATGGTAATGGTACTGGCAATGGTAATGGTAGTTGCTAATGGCAATGGCAACGGCAATGGTAATGGTAATGGTAATGGCAGCGGTAATGGTAATGATAATGGTAATGATAATGGTAATGGTGACAGTACGGTAATGGTAATGGTAATGGCAATGGTAACTGGTCAGCGACTGGCAATGGCAATGACAATGGCAATGGCAACGGTAATGGTAATGGCAATAGCAATGGCAATGGCAATGGCAAGGGCAATGGCAATGGTAAAGGTAATGGTCATGGTCATGGTCATGGTAATGAATGACAATGGTAATGGTAAAGGTAATGGTAAAGGTAATGGTAATGGTAATGGTAATGGCAATGGTAGTGGTAATGTGAATGGGAAAGGGGATGGGAATGGGAATGGGAACTGGAATGGTAATGGGAACGGGAATGGAAATGGTAGTGGTAGTGGTAGTGGTAGTGGTAGTGGTAGTGGTAATGGTAATGGTAATGGTAATGGTAATGGTAATGGTAATGGTAATGGTAATGGTAATGGTACTGGTAACGGTAACGGTAATGGCAAGTGTGATGGAAATGGGAATGGAAATGGGAATTGTAATGGTAATGGCAGCGGTACTGGTAATGGTAATGGTAAAGGTAATGGCAATGGCAATGGTATTGGTAATGCTAAGGTAATAGCAATGGTAATTGTAGTGGCTAATGGCAATGACAATGGCAATGGCAATGGTAATGACAGTGGTAATGGTAACGGTACTGGTAATGGTAATGGTAACGGTAATGGTAATGGTAATGGTAACGGGGTAGCGACTGGCAATGGCAATACAATGGCAATGGCAACGGTAATGGTAATAATAATGGCAATGGCAATGGGAAGGGCAATGGCAATGGTAATGGCCATGGTAATGTTTATGGTAATGGTAATGGTAAAGGTAAAGGTGAATGTAATTGTAAGTGTAATGGTAATGTGAATGGGAATGGGAATGGGAATGGGGATGGGAATGGGAACGGTAGTGGTAGTGGTAACGAACATGGGAATTGTAAGGGTAAGGGTAAGGGTAAAGGTAAAGGCAAAGGTAATGGTAATGGTAATGGTAATGGCAATGGCAATGGTAAGGGTAATGGTAAGGGTAATGGTAATGGTAATGGTATTTGGAATGGGAATGGACTGGCAATGGCAATTGCACTGGCACTGGCAATGGTAATGATAATGGTAATGGGAATGGTAAAGGTAATGGTAATGGTAGTGGTAGTTGTAGTGGTAGTGGCAATGGTAATGGTAATGGTAATGGTAATGGAAATGGTAATGGAAATGGAAATGGTAATGATAATGGTAAGGGCAATGATGAGCAGTAGCCTGAAAGATCGTAAAAACTCCTCTGGGACCCACAGCGACTCCACTATTTCCCGGCCTCTCCTCCTCCTCCTCCTCATCCTCCGCCTCCTCCTCCTCTTCCTCCTCCTCCCTCCTCCCTCCTCCCTCCTCCCTCCTCCCTCCTCCCTCCTCCCTTCCTCCCTCCTCCCTGCCCCCTCCCTGCTCCCTCCTCCCTGCTCCCTCCTCCCTCCTCCCTCCTCCCTCCTCCCATCCTCCCTCCTCCCCCTCCCTCCTCCCTCTCCTCCTCCTCCTCCTCCCTCCTTCCTCCTCCTTCTCTCCTCCTCCTCCTCCTCCGCCTCCTCCTCCTCCACCTCCTCCTCCCCTCCTCCTCCTCCTCCTCCTCCTCCTCCTCCTCCTCCTCCTCCTCTCCTCCTCCTCCTCCCCTCCTCCTCCTCCTCCTCCTCCTCCTCCTCCTCCCTCCTCCTCCTCCTCCTCCTCCTCCTCCTCCTCCTCCTCCTCCTCCCCCCCCGCGTGCTGCCGACACGGGCCCCGCGGCTGCGCCGGAGCCAGCGGCGGCGGGGCACCGGGCCAGCGAGCGGGGCAGGCTGCACGCCTGGGCAGGGGCCGAGGGAGGAGGCGGGAAATGGAGTGGAATAGGATGGAATGGGATGGGATGGGATGGGATGGAATGGAGTGGAATGGGATTGAGTGGAGTGGAGTGGAATGGAACGGAATGGAATGGAGTGGATTAGAATGGAATGGAATGGAATGGGATGGGGTTGGGATGGGATCGGACGGGATTGTATGGGATGGGATGGGATGGGATGGAATGGGATGAGATGGGATGGAAGCGGATGGGATGGGATGGGATGGACCGATCGCGAGGCGATGAACGACGTCACCCTTTCACCAGCTGCACTTTGGCATCTTGCCGTCGTCGCATAGATTCATAATAGATTCGATTCGCACCCCCGATATGTCTCGAGAGACCGACCCCTCAGCAACCTTAGGAAATCCGAATTGTGCTGCAGGACCAATTCTACACAAAAAATGCTACGCCGCTTGGTGAGAGCATATATTGCTGGCACTGCCCCGACACCTCACACAGCTTGTTCCGTCATCCGAGAGCTGATGTCTAGAGGAAAGAAAACAAACAGGGCCGCGGGAGCGGGGGGTGCAAGCGCGTTTTTGGTTTAACTAAAGAGGACCGTTTTTCAACTGAAATGGAATCAAGGCTGGCCCTTGAAAGCCTTTTCCTGACAAAACACGATTTGTGCTCGACCTGTGCAACACGGGTACTGTCAGGAGCGCGAAGACGATTTTCCTGAACTGTGATGCCTGCGACCTCGTCCGCCGCAGTGTTCCCCAGGATAAGCCACAACGGATGAGGACTCGAGACAGCTTGGGCGGCGGATAAATGCGAAGGCACTTGGAGGACAACAAACTCAGCTAAATCCTGATCCTCACCTAAAAGACCGAGCTCGCGCCACAAATCTGGATTATCCCGCCGTTTATCGAGATAGCACCTACTCTGACACACTGCACTCACTGACCCGTCGTCACACACAAAAATCGCAACGCCTTTATTACCAAGGACAGCTAGCATTAAGGCAACTTATTCACCACGGGGGAGAGACTGTCTAGGGCCGCACGAAGGTCCCCGAATAGAAACTCCAACCCGAAACGGGCCAAAGCAAGAGATGGAACCCAGACCGACCCCGACCCTACGCAGACGGGCGTCCCTGGAGTCGACCCCCCCGCTGGCGTCCCCTCAACAAAAAGTTAGGGCTGGCTGGGGTCCATACCAGGGGCTCCCAACTTCGCGCTTCGCGCTGCGCGAAGCGCGAATAACTTCGCACTCTCGCACCGCCTCCCAGGGGAGAAGAGGAGGATGAGGAATCGGAGCCGAACCGCGAAGCGCGAATAACGTCGCGCCCTCGAGGGCACCCTTGAAAAAAGTTGGGGCTGGCTGGGGTCCATACGCCCAAGGTGCGTATGCGAACCTAGCTCGTTGAAACCATTGAAGATCCAGGGGGCTCGCACGGGGCAGGAGGGACCCTCGTCCAGCTCGCCAGGATGAGCGATGGGAGGAGAGGGGAAAGCGAAAGGGGGGGAGGAAGCGAAAGAGAGGGGGAACGAGGGGAGGGAGGGAGGGATCGGGAGCAGCCAAAGAGGCGGGTGTCCAAGAGGGGGGGGGGGGGGGGGGGCAAATCATGACCGGCGGCACTTGCGCGGCCCAGCGGGGGGGCCAGGGACGCAACGAAGCAAGAAGAGGCGACATGGAGTCTGGGGAAATATCATGGCCCCCGCCACGATATCCACCCCCTCCTAGTCATCACCCCCCTCTTTTTTGGACGCCCGACATGGGTACCGAAAAAACGGGTACGATGCCCAACAACAAATGTTGTCCCAAACCAACAGCGGCCGCTGTTGGGCAGGCGGCCTTCTGTCTCAAATGTACACAGGCCGCGGCGACACCGACAGCGAGTCCTGATCGAAATGAAGAGGAATCGCTGTTGGGCACTGTACCCATTCTTTCCGCACCCATCTCAATCGTGCAGATCATTGCCGCCCCCGAAGGGAGGGGAGAGGGGGAGCGAGAGGCCGGGAGGGGGGAGCAGAAGAGCCGGGAGGGGATGGCGGTGTGACGGCGGAGCGTGCCCACGCGTGCCCGGCGGGAGGAAGGTGGGGAGGGGCACGAGCGGAGGAGGAGAGGGAGGGAGGGGAGGGGCTGCCGGGGGCGAGCACGACCGATCGCAAGCACTTCGGACCGATCGTCAACCACTTCGGACCGATCGCAACCAGCTGCGATCGGTCCGAAGTGGTTGCGATGCTGTTGGGTCGTTTCGATAAGGTCTCGATTCAGGAAGAGATCATAAACCGCCCAATGGGAATCTGAAAAAGCGGTTGCGATCGGTCCGATCACCGACGGCCGATCATGATATCAATCAAACACACTTGAGCTAGAACGTGGCCATGATCCGCATCAGTGTCCTATGTGATTCGTATACGATTGAGACCGAAAAAAAAGAAGCAAAAACGCCTGGTGTGAAACGGATTGCATCTCAGGAGGGGCGGGAGGAGGGGGAGGAGGAGGAGGAGGAGGGAGGGAGGAGACGGAGGAAGGGCAGGAGCAGGAGGAGCAGGAGTTGTATTGAGGAGGAGGAGGAGGAAAAGGAGGAGGAGGGGGAGAAAAAGGAGGACTGAAGACAGGATGGCAAGGCGGAAATAGGCGGCGGCCCAGACCCCCAACATCACAACTATTCCGGAACGTCGACCCCCACAGGCCTGGAAGAATGACCCTACGGTAGGTTCGCGCGGCGTCGGCATTCGCAAGGCTTTTGGCACCGCGTCGATCGTTCAACCTTGAATCGATCGCGGCCCCGATCGTTCAAGGTTCAATATCGTTGGGTGCAGTGGCCCCACCGTT